TTCAAAGAGCAATTGAGGAATCGTGGACAACTTGCTGTCAGTATTAGTATTCTTATTAAATAGGAATCGGTTCTTGAAAACGTTAATGTAACAGTTAGAGCAACGGATCATTGGCAGATTTTTGAAAAAGATATTGATGGTTTGTTGCTGCGGCGCTAGTGAATGTATTCTTATAACTGTAAATAGAGAGGGTTTCGTTGGTAAAGCATTTTTTTGTTAACTGTTTTCGGCCTAATGACCATCTGCTTTTGACCCATAGGAGGTTGTATTGTTTGTAAATGCAAGTAAAATTATTGTAAAAAAGTTGGATGTTTTTAAAATGAGATTTTGGTTTGTATTTTTAATGAGGAATTGATTAAGTAAGTGAATTTTTCAGAATTTGGGTTCTCCGGAAAACGAGAAATCGCAGGAAGCAATTGTTTATTTGATCGAACTTTTACCTCATTTATCGGCACAGTTCGTACATGTAAGTGTAATTCATTAGTAATCCCTGTCACTCATTTCATCTTTTTCCGTTGAGAAATTTTTTTTTATGTTTAACTTTTTCCATTTGTATTTATGACCCAGTTCGGTTGTCACTTTATTTCCTCACCTTGGCACTTTACAAAGCTGTAAGCTTGATTTTGTTGTTGTTTTCAGCTGTGCTTGCGACATTTTGGCTATTCTGTCGAAGAAACGGTAAATGCGTTGCTGAACGTTGATGAATTACCACTGGATTTGAGATCTTTGATGTCAGTTGAATTGAGAGCCGAGAACGTGCCATCATCGAATATCGACAAAACTTCCTTATTTTGTCACACTAGTGGTATGTTCTTTAGCTTCAAACTCAGACTTTTGTAGCGCTGGTGCCTGTGCCACTGGCCCATGGATCCGCCTGTGGCTCAGAATGTTCGCTGAATTCACTTTATAATTCTCGGAGTTTTTCTAGGACCACACAAGCACTTGGACATTCGAGATGATTCCGGGGAATTAGCAGAGTTCTAAGGAATCCAGAAACAAAAGAATTACTGGCACCTGTGTATATTATCCACAACGTATATTATTTGTCACTTCTCTGCTGTCATTTCATGGAACATGGAAATTGTGGTTTGGGGAAGGAAAGATGTACGCACACACACATAAATACACACACATGCATACACACATACATACAGACACATACATACATGCACACATACACGCATTCTTCTAACCACTAGACGTTTGTTTGTTCCCAAACCTTGCATTCGTTTGAGGATTCTA